GACAGGAGTGACGTAGGGCAATCATCACAGTCCATGAACTGGAGTTCATTGCTATTAAAAAGCCAAATGAAGCATGATCTGGTAGATCTTTAGGTGCTTAACATTTCATTTTATATGAGCTACAGTTGGTGGCCATCTTTTGGGCAACAAAAAAAAATGAGATTCGGGTCAATTTCATGTTGTGACCTCCCTTGAGGTTGCAGACAGGGGGAAGCAGAGGCAGAGAGGGAGGGACCATAGTGAGACCTCCAGGGACCTTCAGGGACCTCACCATAGATTAACTCAAAACTTGTGGTGGTATGATGGATAGGAATGATCAATTCAAGAAAATACTCTAGAAAATGTTTATAATGGGTGAAAGTTTTCTAAATAAACCACATGGAATTCTACTGGTCATTAATTTAGATTAGAACAGCACAACAGATGAGAGTTTAAGATTTGCACATCAAGCATAATTACCACATTCTATAGTGTCATGTCCAAAAAATTTAATAATTTGTTTTAATTAAAGGTGCACAAGAATTGTGCAGTCTCTGGTCCACATGTGGGCTATGGAGGACATTTGTGTGAAGTAATCTTAGCTGGTGACTCCTAGTGTGAGGTTGCTGTGAATTCACTACAGGTTTTCTACTAAAGTTTCCAGGAGCTATCCAAAGTACTGAATTCTATTACCAAAATACATTCACAAGACCATACACTGGCTGTGATGGAACTTTTATGTATTTTGCAGTGCATGAACACTGGTTGGGAAATGGCCAAGTACAGAATCATGCCTCCAGATGACTCTAGGGAGTAGTATTGTGTATTTCATGACGATTTGACCATCAGGTAAAAGGTAAAGGTAAAGGTTCCCCTTGACAATTTTTGTCCAGTCGTGTCCGACTCTAGGGGGCGGTGATCATCCCGCTCTTCAAGCCATAGAGCCAGCGTTTGTCTGAAGACAATCTTTCCGTGGTCACATGGCCAGTGTGATTTAGACACGGAACGCTGTTTACCTTCCCACCGAGGTGGTCCCTATTTATCTACTCGCATTTGCACGCTTTCGAACCGCTAGGTTGGCGGGAGCTGGGACAAGCGACGGGCGCTCACTCCGTCGCGTGGATTCAATCTTACGACTGCTGGTCTTCTGACCCTGCAGCACAGGCTTCTGCGGTTTAGCCCACAGTGCCACCACGTCCCATGACCATCAGGGCTACGCTTCAAATTGGCCTCAGATAACAGTTTTTCAAAATGAGAAGCCTTCACTTCCACTTTGAGGAAGATGGGTATGGGGATCCAAGGGATGAGAAATGGGGATGATGGATCCCCTGGATCTTACATGGCTAATCATCTCTGTTTCAAATAATTGATCACACGAAAGTTGTTGTAGGTTTTTTCGGCTGTTTGACCATGTTCTGGAGGTTTTTCTTCCTGATGTTTTATCAGTCTTTGTGGCCAGCATCTTCAGAACACTTATTAGGACACTCCTGTCCCCTGAAAATGCCGGCCACAGAGACTGGCGAGACATTAAGAAGAAAAACCTCCATAACACAGCCAAACAGCCCAAAAAACCTACAACAGCCATCGGATCCCAGCCATGAAAGCCTTCAAGAATACAATCATATGAAAGTTGGTACTTCATTGTACCGAAGTTGCTATTTCATTCAGTGCAGTCACCCATGACAACCCTGATAACACATTTGTCATGTGATATATTAATGTGGTGCATCTGAGTCAATGGTTCCCCACCTTGGTTCCTCAAATACTCTTGGACTATAACACCCAGAAATTCTGGCTGGTGCAGCTTGTGGTAAAAACTTCTGGGAGTTTTTGTTCTAGAATATCTGGAGAAGCGAGGTTGAGAACCACTGGTCTAAATGATCTAGACCTTTATTGTGCCCCATTAAAGTCATTATTTTTAATCTAACAGTTCATCCTGCAAAACTTTGAGGCCCTCTTACAGAAAAAAGTAACTATGTTGGCCTTTTCACCAACCAGTTCCAAAGTCAATCTAAACCAGAGAATTTTACAAAGAAGCATATTTAAGAAATATGGCAGCCAAAGGGCTGAGCTTAAAAAGTAAAATTCAAAATGTAGAAATCATAGGATGAAAAAGGAACAAAATTTAGTTAAGCAACACTGCAGACAAAAAAACCCCACCCATAAGGCAAAATATAGGGTAACAAATTCCAGCTCGTAAGACATTTGGTTACATATTGATGTGGTAGGCACAAAATTTATCTGAGAGCATTTGTCATATGGATAAAAACACTCTAATCTTAATTATGTTTCAGACAGCTCATATGTTTCCAGTACAACAGAGAGCTGCAAATTCCCCATACTGTACACATTTTCTGACAGATACCAGCTTCTACTCTTTACTTGTTTGTTGAATGAACAGGTACCTCCCATTTCCAGATGTAATGATCATTGTTACCCAGGTTATAGAAAGGCCAAGAAGGAAGGGAAGCCATTTTGCTGCTATGATTGCCTTCCATGTCAAGAAGGAAAGATTTCAGACCAGGCTGGTAAGAGGACTTTTATCAAATACATCAGTTGTGGGAAAGCTTGTTTGCATACAGAGGCACTCTTTTTCACAATGTTTAAAATGTGTTTCAAGTTCAGCAGTCGCAAGATTTTGCTGATAAAAGGACGGAAGCCCTGTTCAGGCATTAAAACCATATAGAATTCTTAGCCTACGAGTATTTTTACTGTACTCTCTGTCAACCCTAGTTTTGTTATACATATTCATGTACATGGAGGACACGGCCCATAAAGACGACTATCCTAAAAGTCTAGTTAGAAAGTATCGTATGTTCCTGAATAAACATGAATGGAAATCAAGGTGATCTCAGGAGTGAGAGGTTCAAGAAAAATGAACATAAACATGGTTCTAAAAGAGGGGATAAACAAAAAACATATTTCTCTCATTGAAATGGAGACCTTCATTGACTAAAGTTCATTTTTCAGAATATAGAAGAATGCAGTGGGGCCTGTATCTGCTCTTCCAACAGTGAAAGCAGCTCCTTCAATAGTATCACCATCTCTCTTCTAAAATTTTAGATTTCAAATCAGTGTCCCTTATTCAGAATGCCGAAAGATATTTAATTTGCAATGAACTGTGATTTGACTCTATCATGTATTTAAAGGCATAATTTCTGTTCCAGATAGAGACGATTGTTTCCAGTGTCCAGAAGATCACTATCCAAATCAAAGTCATGATTTGTGCATTTTGAAACAAATAATTTTCTTGTCTTATGATGAACCCTTGGGGATCAGCCTGGCTACTATTTCTCTTTTATTTTCTTTCATCACAGTTTTGGTGCTCATAATTTTTGTTAAGCACCAGGGCACACCCATAGTCAAAGCCAACAACCGGAATCTCACCTACCTTCTCCTCATTTCCCTGTTCCTCTCGTTCCTTTGTGTGTTATTGTTCATTGGTCCACCTGAGGCTGTCATCTGTCTCCTTCGTCAAACCACCTTTGGTTTCATCTTTTCTGTAGCTGTTGCTTCAGTTCTGGCCAAAACCACTGTAGTGGTTTTAGCTTTCATGGCCACCAAGCCAGCATCCAGGATGAAAAAATGTGTAGGGACACGGTTGGCCAACTCCATTGTTCTTTCTTGTGCCCTTATCCAAGCCACTATTTGCAGTGTGTGGGTGGCAACCTTTCCACCATTTCCAGACTTGGACATGCTCTCAGAGGAGGAGAAAATTGTACTGGGATGTAATGAAGGTTCACCAATCATGTTTTACAGTGTTCTTGGCTTTATGGGTTTTCTGGGCACTGTCAGTTTCACTGTGGCTTTCCTTGCTAGGAAGTTACCAGAAACCTTTAACGAAGCCAAGTTCATCACCTTCAGCATGTTGCTCTTCTGCAGTGTTTGGTTGTTATTCATTCCAACTTATCTAAGCACCAGAGGAAAATACGTGGTGGCTGTGGAGATTTTCTCTATATTAGTGTCCAGCGGTGGATTACTGAGCTGCATCTTTTTCCCCAAATGCTACATCATTTTACTAAGACCAGAGTTGAACCATAAAAAGCAATTAATAAGAAAGAAGAATCTGAAAGTCTTTGGACCCGTGTAATTAAACAGTGACTTCTTGTGACTTTTGATGGAAGAGAAACATTATTTTTGTTGTTGCTGTGCATATTAGGGAATGTGCAATAAAAATAGTAGGTTTTATCCAAGAGTTATCCTGAGTTGATTTATCCTGATGTTGTTTATATTACACCTTGGAAATGTACATACAGACACAATGCATTTATCTTATTCACAAGATATTCTTGTTTGACAGGCACCTCTGCTTTATAATATTAGCAGTCAGACATTCCATTACAGAGAACACTCTTACGGTGGCCACAGGTCGAAAAGTCCATGGGTGGAGAGTCCATTTCTCATAGGGATGCATTGATAACCATTTAATCCGTTCCAGGCAAAGAAAAAAATCCTGGACTTCCAAAGCTGCATCCGCTGCCCTCTGTCTCCCATCCCTGGTGCCCTCTGCCTTCTGTCCCCGTGGGGACAAGAGGCGGAGGGCAACGGGGACGGGAGACAGAAGATAGCGGGGATGGGAAGCAGAGGGCAGTGAGGGCAGCTTTGAATTTCCTGCCCTTTCCCCCTGTCTTTCATCAGTCGAAGCTCCAGCCTCAAGTCAAACCAAAATTTTGCAGCCGGGGCTTTACGTACCTCGAAATTTTCGTAAGTAGGCACCTTCATAAGTCGAGGGTCCACTGTACAATGTTTCAGAGGTTATTAATTCATATATGGCAGAAGTTATTGGATGGCACTTAACAACAACAAGCAGAAACGTCCATTTCCAAGTAGGTGCCCTGGTCTAAGCACAAGTCCGTTCTCTAACAAATTCAAAAATTTTCTTGTACTGTTGGATTACCACTTGCTTGTGAAATAAACAGCTAAATGTTTCAATAAAGCCCATTTTCTTTTTCTGAGCTTGTTTATTTTTTTCACCCAAATCATGGAATCCCAACAGATTTCTTCAGTGGAGTGCAAAGAGTTGATGGAGTTGGAGGTTGGGAGTAGCAAACCTGAACATGGCAGGGGAAGGAAGTGCATTATATTCTCTAATTTTCTTGGTTTGGTTTGGTTTTTCCATGTAGGGAAGAGCTTAGTCTTCATTACAATTAGCGCTCTCTCTCTCTCTCTCTCTCTCTCTCTCTCTCTCTCTCTGTGTGTGTGTGTGTGTGTGTGTGTGTGTGTGTGTGTGTGTGTGAGAGAGAGAGAGAGAGAGAGAGAGAGAGATTCTCTTGTGTAGGTTTTATTTGGATAGTCCAAAGTACAGCTAGAGATCATTCCCCCCCCAACTGATTTTTCCATATTTTTCTTTTTCTATTACCTTCTGCTGGAAGTTATTAGCAGTGGATTCCACTCCCGTTGCACTAGATACCTGTGTGTTTTGCAGAGTTGGTGTGTACCAAAAGTGCACTAGACAATGACTGATACCCAGCTACGTTCACCACCACTCCTGATATGACTATATGTTTATGTTCCAGAGTGCATAAGTACCAAATGTGCAGTGTTCTTATTTGTGCTAGGAGGGAGGTTAGGCTACTGACTGGGGACACTAAGAGGAATCTTCCACATCACCAAATCATGTTTCCTTGAGCATGGGAAAAAATAAACTAGGTGGCAAACAGGCATATTTGGGCCAACTTGCCCACTGCTTGGAGACACCAGAAAACATGTACTCTGGACTGAACTCATATTTCCCCCCGTTCTTCTCATCACTTCTACCTTTTGGTGAATTGCAGCAATGCCACAGAAGAAACCTCTTCCTGCATCTCCCTGATTGCTGTTTTCCCCCACAATATGGTACAAGCAAACTCTCCTGTGCTACTAATTCCAAGAGCATACTTTCCCCCCTCCCATTTGATGTGGCTATATCTGTGTGTTTCAGAACACAAGGGTACCAAACTGTGATGCTCTGATTTGTCCTAGATTCTTGAGCATGTTAGGTTACTGACTGGGGAAACTAAGGGGTCATCTTCTATGTCACCAATATGTTTTCCTTGAGCATGGAGCTGGGGGTAATGTAGGATAGGAGCTTTGCCTTCAATTTGAAGGTCCCCCATATTCCCAAAGCTTATAGCACTATGCAGGGTCATCATTCCATAACACAAACCTTCATTCATTCATTCATTCATTCATTCATTCATTCATTCATTCATTCATTCACTCACTCACTCACTCACTCACTCATTCATTCATTTCTAAGTATATAGCTCTAGCATCTGTACCCATTAGTCTTACCACTCTCAGTGCCATTTGAAACATAAATTAGAATCAAACACTAAAACACTATATAATAATTATCAAAAATACATTCAAATCCAATAAACTCTGTCGCTAGCTAAAACTACCTTTAAATGAGTTTTTAAAAACCCACAAATGAAAACCCATTTGAAAATTCCAGGACAATATGCACATTAGTACAAGGCAGTTTTACACATTTTGGTCCTGATTCGCTTCTTGAAAACAGATAATGATAGTCCCAGACAAACTTCTGTAGGAAGCTTATTCCAGAATAAGGGGTTAAGACCAAGAAAGCTGTGTTCCTTGTGTTGGCTTTTTTGGCATTCTTGGATATTAAAATTGTTAACATCAAAGATGGTGAGGAACATGTAGCTATTTTACGGGAGAGACATTCTTTTCATTTGTCTTTCTCCTCCAAGTAAAGGTAAAGGTTCCCCTTGACAATTTTTGTCCAGTCGTGTTCGACTCTAGGGGGTGGTGCTCATCCCCGTTTCCAAGCCATAGAGCCAGTGTTTGTCTGAAGACAATCTTTCCGTGGTCACATGGCCAGTGCGACTTAGACACGGAACGCTGTTACCTTCCCACAGAGGTGGTCCCTATTTATCTACTTGCATTTGCATGCTTTCGAACGGCTACGTTGGCGGGAGCTGGGACAAGCAAGGGGCGCTCACTGCGTCGCGTGGATTCGATCTTATGACTGCTTGGTCTTCTGACCTTGCAGCACAGGCTTCTGCGGTTTAGCCCGCAGCGCCACCACGTCCCTTCTTTCTCCTCCAGACACCTGGCAATTCAAGTTGCCCCTATATGTCATAGAAACATTTAGTAGTATTTTTTGACACCCAAGAACACATTAACTTTGGCAATCTCTAAATCAGCTCAGGGTTAGTTGGTCCTGATTTGCAAAGCAAGTATGTAGATACAAGCTGAAACAGATGGTAGTTGCATACCTCTGATTTTTAATGCATCTTTGTTCTAAGGCCTCAGTCTTCATCAGGAAGACCAGAACAGAGGTAGGCAGAGATGCAATAAACATGTTTTCTTCTGCAATGTCTCAGACAACCTACAATTCTGAATATGCAATTACCTCCACTCTTATTATAGAACCATCAATGATTTCATCTTCTTTCTCTTTGTGTCCCTAGGGAGTTCCAGAGGTTACCAAAAAGCTATGGTCCAAGACTGGAAGAATTTATTAAGGATCCTCTCTGTGCCTTCCAGCACTTGAGCTACAGACACAGGTGGTTCAACCCATCTAATCATTGCATCAATGCAAAACAGACTTCTCATTTGGAATCAGCCAAAAGAGTTGTCATTTAGTCTCACTCAATAAGAGATATTCACAGAAATGTGCAGTAGCAGATTGGCTGTGCAAAAATGATTTATTTCAAGGTGATTCTTGTTGTGGAGATAGTGTTATTGCTGCTGCCCCAAGTGTTGGGTGAGGGTCCACGTGCTCAATGTCTCATCATGAAACCTTTTCTCATTCATCACCAGTATTACCAGGAAGGGGGTGTACTCATTGCTGGAATTATGTCTCAGGGCTTCAGATTCTCAGATCAAATAAACTTTCGGGAAAAACCATCTGAAGACATTTTTGAGGACTATATGTAAGTAATTTATCTGACCCTCCAAATATCTTGCCTGAACTTAAATCTAGTTGTTCATCTCAACCAGTCTTGAGTTAGCCAGTTCCTGTTTGTTCAGCAGACCCATTCTAGTTGAGACTGATCATTGATTTTAGGACACGGTACATCTGGTTTCAGGATGTCAAAGGGACTTAAAGAATGATGACTTGATATTTAGTCATTGATGTCATTTCCATCATGTGTGTAATGTTGCTTAGTTTGCACCAAAAACAAAGCAAAATCTGCTGCTTACATGCTGCCTCATAATGCTTAAAGCACTCTGGGTGGTTTACAATTTAATTATTCAGGCTACACATCCCCCCCCCCAAGAGCTAAGTATTCCTTTAATAACTTTGGAAGGATGAAAGGCTGAGTCAATCTTGAACCAGCTGATGGAATCTGCTGGAATCAAAAGCAGGCCATGAGCGGAGTTTTTACTGCAATACTACAGTTTAACAATTGTGCCATAAGTCAGTTTAACCACTGCACCATGGATCAAAAATGTGTTCTGTTGTTGTGAAAGCCACAAAATATATTGGCCTCCTAGAGAGTAAAAAAAAAATTTATTTTTTTTTACAGATGTGGTAGTGAACAGAAAAGGAGACCTTTTTCTGTCCCTCTTGCTATTCTTTTCTTCAAACAATCTTTTGGAACAGGGAATGAGTCTAATGCATTGCCAAATGAACAGGTATGTAGTGAAGTGAATCCCTCAATGTGAAGATGGTCAACTTCTCTTTCCTTGCAGGGTAATGACACACCTCTATCAACATATTGTGGCTTTTGCATTTGCTGTTAAGGAGATCAATGAGAATCAACAAATTTTGTCCAATATGTCTTTGGGTTTTCAACTGTACAACGGCTATTTCACGGCAAGCTGGACTTATCTTGCTTCAATACAGCTCCTCTCTCGGCGAGGTATATTTATCCCTAATTACAACTGCGGTGTTGAGAAGATTCCTATATCCGTCATTGGTGGACCTAACCACCACTATCTTTTCGACATTTCCAGTATCTTCTCTATGTACAAAATACCACAGGTAAGACATGCCTCAAGCATGGATGATAAAGCAGACATATTTAACAAAATAATCTACAAAACAAAATAATCTACAGAATATATGATGAGTTTGTTAGGTAGCATCATATATCTTTAAGGACATTTCTGTCATGCAAAGGTTCTCATTATTACATTCGCGAAGGCTTTCACGGGATCTAATGGTTGTTCTGGGTTTTTCGGGCTCTTTGGCCGTGTTCTGAAAGTTGTTCTTCCTGACGTTTCGCCAGTCTCTGTGGCCGGCATCTTCAGAGGACAGCAACCTGTGCTCTGGTGTAGTTGGCTTGGGAGTGCAGTATTTATGGCTGTGAGATAGGCTTCTCATTCTTTTAAAAAATATCAATGCACTAAAAGGCCAGACCCAAAAGTTCCTCTAAACATTTAGTCATGTTTAACCTTTAACTGTGTTTATTGAATATAACATAAGACCCTGGTATTGAATCTAATGGAAATGTTGAAGATGTGTAAGAAATGTGTTCATGCATGTGTGATTGTACTCAGAGTGTATCTAAGAGTGGACTTCTCTCTATTCAAGCTGAATGGCAAGGAGCTGTATCAGCATAGCATTAGGAGGTCATAGACAGCATGCCTAGTCACTTCTCCAGATTTGTGGTACATGTGTGAACTGTGCCAAAAAGTGCTTTCCATCTGTTTCCCCAAATTGATATTTTGTTGTTGTTGAGTGCCATCAAGTTCATTTATGGTGACCCTAATAGGTTGTGTTGTTTTCATTTACATAGCACTCAATAGTGCTAAAGCACTCTTTAGATGGATCACATCATAATTATGCAAGCAATAGCTGCTCCCCACAACAAGCTGGGTACTGATTTTGCTAACCTCAAAAGAATGGAAGGTGGAGTCATCCTAGAGCTGGCTACCTGAGCCTATTGAGATTGAACTCAGGCCATGAGCAGAAGCCTGACCACAGTACTACAGTTCAGCCACTGTGCTATGGGGCTCTTTACTGTTCATGAATCCTAATCCAAAATTCCACACACTATACCACTTTGACTCTTTGCTTATTAAAAGAGAGAAAGAGAACAAAGAGACCAAAGGCAGAAATTATTAAATATACTGTACATTAAAAGGACAGGTCCTGAAGCTTCCAATGCTTTGGCCATCTCATGAGAAGAGAAGACTCCCTGGAAAAGACGCTAATGTTGGGAAAGTGTGAAGGCAAGAGGAGAAGGGGACGACAGAGGACGAGAGGGTTGGACAGTGTCACCAAAGCAACCAACATGACTTTGACCCAACTCCGGGAGGCAGTGGAAGACAGGAGGGCCTGGCGTGCTCTGGTCCATGAGGTCACGAAGAGTCGGACATGGCTGAACGACTAAACAACAACAACAACATTATATATATATTCTTCATTGAAGTTCAGCTATTATTTTTATTTTAATAATAATAAAAACATTTTCCTCTGTAGTTCATCTATGGCTCAGCTCCTGTGATTCAAAGTAACTTCCAAAGTGTTTTCCTCCACTGGATGCTCCCCGGCAGTCATCAGTATGATGGGATTCTCCAGTTACTCCTCCATTTTGGATGGACATGGGTAGGGGTGATTACTGAAGAAGATGAGAACTCAGAGAAATTTGTAGAGAACATTCTTCCCATATTTGTTGGAAGAGGCATTTGCTTTGATTTCATAGTCAGATCCCCCAAGACGACATTTTCTAACAATGTGATTGTGATGGTGGAAAAAGGTTTCAGAATCGTCAAGAATGTTTTGGAAAGAACCGCTAACATTGTGATTGTTCATGGTGATATTCTTCTCTTTATATTATTGAGATTCATCTCCATTATTGCAGAAATGGAGGGTATGCCTCTGCAAACTAAGCAGAAAGTCTGGATCATGACAGCTCAGATGGATTTCATATCGTGTGGTTTTCAAAGGAGTTGGGATATAAATATGCTCCATGGTGCTCTATCCTTCACATTGCACTCTAAGGATCTTCTGGGCTTCCAGGAATTTCTTCAGATGAGAACCCCAACCTTGGTAAAAGAAGATGGATTTCTCAGGGCTTTCTGGGAAGATGTATTTCTTTGTTCTTTCTCCCAGCCTTCCTTAGACCACAAAGTTGGGAAGGTCTGCACAGGTGATGAGAAACTGGAGACTCTGCCTGGGTCTGTTTTTGAACTTAGCATGAGCGCCAACAGCTACAGCATCTACAACACAGTCTATGCTGTGGCCCATGCACTGCATCTCATGCATTCATCCATAGTCAAACGCAATGTAGATATTGGCAGTGTAAATTGGAAACATCAGAATCATCAGCCTTGGCAGGTAATACCCTCATCTGTTGAATGTGTGAATATGGTTCCATAGTAGGTCTTTCCTGAGAAAGCTTTCCTTCTATAAATAAAAGGCTGTGTTTTAATTGCCACAAATCACTATGAGAAACAGGACTTCTATAGGCAGAAGAAGATTTTCTGCATAAGGAAGGAGCTCCTGAATGAAACAGTGACAGGTAAACACATCGGTTGAATCCTTAGGTGTGGGTGCAGTATCAGGTCTTTGTGTCAGAAGCTCTTTTCGTGGGAAGGGTAGCCTGTGTTGTAATTATCACACTTGCCTGAAAAATCAGGCCTTCCATTGACTCAAGGGCATTCTCTGTACAGTGGTGCCCCGCATAGCGACATTAATCCATTCCGGATTAATCGTCGCTATCCGGAATCGTCGCAAAATGGAACTAAAACCCTATAGGAACACATTAAACTTCATTTAATGCATTCCTATGGGGCCCAAACTCACCTCACCGTTCAGCGAAGATCCTCCATAGCGCCGGCATTTTTGCCACCTTAGTAAGCGAGGGCAGCATGTGAAAAAGCTTGCGGCGGACATTTTGGGCACCTGGTGGCCATTTTGGAACTGCTGATCAGCTGTTCTAAAAACATCGCAATGCGAAGATCTCATCACAATGCGATGTTTGCTCATTCAGAACATCGTAATGCGATCGCATTAGTGATCCCAAAAAATAGATTGCTATGCGGATTCGTCGTTAAATGGCGCGCTCGTTATGCGAGGCACCACTTTATATAGAAAGAACTTTCCAAATATGTAACATTACATGTTTTAAAAAGAGAAGAAACAGAAGGGGGGGCTATGCCATGGAATCTGTCTTGGAGAAGTGATGAATGGCTTACAATTTGTTCTTTACTACAATGCTGGTCTCTTTGCTGACTGCTCAAATGTCCTGCCTACCCTGTGGGTCTGGGGTGAGTGATATGGGTTTCTCCAAGGCGAGATAGGAATTTTTAGCCTGGTTCTCCTGACTGATGTATTGAACAAAAGGTGATCAGGAAACTTCTATGTGTCTCATATTGATCTCCCTTGAGACATTATGGCAAGATTAGTGACCAGGTAGATTTAACTAGGTTACTGCAGATAGCATAGGTTGGTTGGTGGCAAGAGGAGAGAAAGGGGCACCAGCAGGTGATTGTAAGGGTCTAAGCCAAGGGAAGGGGGCTCCAATCTTCAGATTCAGGGCCTTGGTGGTGACGCATCCCTCGGGAGCTGAAATACATCACTACCTTGAACTCATAGGATTTGATATGGAAAAAGTCATGTGAACAAACCCTTCAGAAGTACATGTTTTGTGGCTAGGCAGTATTTCTACAATAAGATCCCAAGGCTATAGCTCACCAATACAGGATAGGAGTCATAGTCTGAAAGAACTTTTCCCTTGTTTTATGATTTGCAGTTCTAGTAGATCTGACTGTAGATTAGTAAAGGTAAAGGTTCCCCTTGACGATTTGTCCAGTCGTGTCTGAATCTAGGCAGCGGTGCTCATCTCCATTTCCAACCCATAGAGCTAGTGTTTGTCCACAGACAATCCTCCGTGGTCACGTGGCCAGCGTGACTAGACACAGAACAACTGTAGATTAGGAGAGTTCAAGCTGTAGCGGTAGTCTTCCTGTATTTCACCCCATGACACAGACTCAACACTTTGTTTCCTGATTCGGGACGAAGCATAATTGATCTAGCAGAGTGCTCCATTCTTCATGTTGTACAACCTGGATATTACCCTTCGGATTCAGTGGATCATAGGGCTGCTTGTAGTGATGAATATGAACATGCCCATGTGCAATGGGTGTGTTCTGGTGACCATGTGAGTATGCATTGTATATTTAGGATTCTGACAGTTGTGGAAGATATTGTGCATCAAATGGCAAAAAAAGTGTCATAAACATATTAGGATAGCAGTAGTTTGATCTGGAGTGATTCAGTTGTGTTACTTCAATCCATAAAAAGCATATGCCAAACCAAACATAACATGTTACTCTTAAATTCCCTCAAGACCCTTCCTTGCTTTTGCTCCAAAACACTACAGTGGTGCCCCACATAGCGACGTTAATCTGTTCCGGATTAATTGTCGCTATGAGGAAACATCGCTAAACGGAACAGAAAAAGCCATAGGAACGCATTAAACTTTGTTTAATGCGTTCCTATGGGGCCCAAACTCACAGTTCAACGAAGTTCCTCCATAGCGCTGCCATTTTCGCGCCCTCGGTAAGCGAGGGCAGGGTGCGAAAACATTTGCGGTGGCCATTTTGGGCACCCTGTGGCCATTTTGGAACCACCAATCAGCTGTTCTAGGAACATCGCAATGCAAAGATCGGTAAGCAAAATGCTTACCGATCATCGCAATGTGATGTTTTACCCAATGCGATGTTTATCCGCTATGCGGATTCATCATTAAACGGTGCGCTCGTTATGCAAGGCACAACTGTAATTCTAAACATACTAAAAGTGTGGTTAGAGATCTAGTGAAGTTTTATAAAGATCTCATTAGACTTAAAGTTTCCTATCTCTAGCCTTCAGTTTTGAAAGATATCAAGACTCTAGAGATATTGAGCTATGTGGATGTCATTTATTTCCATTTGTCAATTATATTTTCCATCTCTATTAATTTAGTTGCCCCGCTTTCTAAGAAATTTGTCATTTAATAATAGTGCCATGGAAGAGATTTCCTTTGACCAAAATGGAGAATTAATAGCTGGATTTGATATAATGAATTGGGTTGTGTTGTCGAATGGATCCGTTCTTAGAGTAAAACTTGGAATGATGGACCCACAGGCTTCCCTGGGAAAGAGATTCACCATTCATGAAGACAATGTGACTTGGCCCAGGAGGTTCAACCAAGTAAGATCCATTTTAGGTTCCCTCTAGGTGTTTCCCAGTCCTTTCAAAAAGATGATCAATCATTTAGTCACTGAACTAGCTGTATCTCAAGGACCTGCTAGATGTCACATGACATGTCCTTAACTGTTACTAATAGTTTAACTCAAAGCTAGAATATTTGACTGGAATCATGGAAGACAATATGCAGGGAAGCCAGTTTGCTTACAAGGTTATCAAAAAAGGAGAAGGTGGGGTAAAATCCTTGGTTCCTTGTTATTGAAATCAATCTAATGGACCAACGTATTAGTATGGAAAGGTCTTGAATGACTTCTAATAGTGGTTTCTGATCAACGATCTCTTTTTAAAGAGAAACGGTTGAAAACTGTTCACTGCTTCACAGCAAGAACTGTCAGCAGAATGCCCCAATGTAGCCCGCAGCACCAAACATCACCCAAAATCTCAAAAAATCTGTAAATCATCCTCTGATGGGGGCAGGATCCTTAGAACCCCTGAGATTGCCACATCTTCAGTTTTTAATTAAAAACAAAGCAAAGTGTGCTGCTTATATACCACCCCATAGTACTTAAAGCACTCTCTGAGTGGTTTTACAAGTTAATTATGAAGGCTACACATTGCTCCCCCAACTAGCTGGGTACTCATTTTACCAACCTTGAAAGGATGGAAGGCTGAATGAACCTTGACCCAGCTACCTAGGATCATGAGCACAGTTTTGGCTTCAGTATAACAGTTTAACTACTACGTCATGAGGCTCCTAATTAAACATACTTTAGGCCTGTAGAGGTTGCAATGATGTTTCCTTAGTATTTCATCTCTCTTTTTTTGTATGAAAAATATTTTGGACAAATGTGGCATTCCAACGATGAGGAATGGTGTATGTTGGCCCCCAGACTTTTGCAGGTGGCCAGCTTCTTGTAATCATCCTACTCCGTATGAACAAGAGCTGTTTAACAAGCAGCCAACCAAAGGGGATCACTGAAGAAAATGTGAAAATTGAAACATCTACACATGATGGATAAACATTATCCAGAAACAGTAACAAACCTGTAAAACAGTATGCAAGCTAAGTTTCTCTGGGGTACTTAAATAAATGTTGGGGATATCACTATATGCTCCAAGGTATTTAAAATAACAATAGGATGGTTTGAGTCATTATAATGCTCCCACTGTTATGACAGTTGTTTGCAGATACTGAATAAAATGTTGTCTCTGGAAAGAAAGCCATTCTGCCAGAAATATACAGCAATTTGTATTTCATAGTTATAGATCGGTTAAGACCACTCTAGGCAGCTAGAGTTATAGATAGGGCAGTTATAGTTGCATAGATAGGGCAAAGAGATGGAATTCTAAACCATTACCTTTTCCCTTTATGAACAGACCCTTCCCATTTCTCTGTGTAATGACAAATGCCAGACCGGCTACAGAAGGGCCAAGAAGGAAGGGAAGCCATTTTGCTGCTACAATTGTCTTCCATGTTCCAAAGGGAAGATTTCGAACCAAAAAGGTAAGGGACCCTACATTGTTTATACATGCTATATGAAGAATTATGAAGAATGAAGTATGCCAGAAATATACACATTGCTTTAGCATGAAGTCTTCTGCCCAGCAACTAACATTGCAGTAGGGTGGGATAAAGGGGAAGGGTTCACTATATGCTGGTTGTTAGGGAAGTAGTATAGAACAGTGGTCCCCAACCTTGGGCCTCCAGATGTTCTTGGACAACAATTCCCAAAAGCCTTCTGGGAGTTGAAATTCAAGAGCATCTGGAGGCCCAAGATTGGGGACCATGGGTATAGAAGACAAAATGGACCATACCTGAACAGAACAGAACCCTACACCAAAGCTCTATGGACTACTGCCACCATGACTATGTGTTCCTCATTCATCATTCTGGAAAAGGAACAACTTTTTATCATGAATATCAGCAGCAAACAGTTAATAAATGTTGGTTCATGACCATCATTGTGTAATTTCAAGTTCACCAGTTGAAGGCCTCAATAGGATTCTGGCCATTGTCTAGAGAAAGATATGGGAACAGCTTTTTATATATCATTCTAGTGTTCATTGTTCTCAGCTTTCTGGAGATGATCTTTGATCTCTACCATTCATTCATTCATTCATTCATTCATTCATTCATTCATTCATTCATTCATTCGTTTTGAAAGAAAGGAGTGTACCTCAACACTTTATCATCCTGATAGTATGTAACTTGTATTGTGGACAAGAAGCTACTGTTAGGATAGAATATGGAGACAGAATGGTTTCCTATAGGCAAAGGTGTCAGACAGGAATGCATTTTATCCTCTTACCTATTATATCTGCATGCAGAACATATAATACAGAGTACCAGACTAGATTCATATGAAGGAGGAGCAAAGTTTAAGATGTTTGTTTGTTTATTCGTTTATTCATTTATTCATTTATTTATTTATTTATTTATTTATTTATTTATTTATTCATTCATTCATTCATTTACTTACTTACTTATTTGCTTACTTGCTTACTTGCTTGCTTACTTATTTACTTACTTACTTACTTACTTACTTACTTACTTGCTTACTTGCTTACTTACTTACTTACTTACTTACTTACTTTTCAGATATGGATTTTTGTTCTGAATGCCCTGCAGATCAACATCCAAACAATGAGAAAAATGGATGCTTTCCAAAAGAAATCACCTACTTGACATATGAAGAACCTTTAGGGGTTATTTTAGTAACTTTTGCTCTGACTTCTTCCTTCCTCACAGCTGGGGTGCTTGCCATTTTCCTGAAATACCAGGACACTCCCATTGTCAAAGCCAACAACCGCAAGATCTCCTACCTTCTTCTCCTAGCACTCCTGCTCTGCTTCCTTTCCGCTCTGCTCTTCATTGGCCCACCGAATAAGGTGACATGCCTTCTTCGGCAAACTGCTTTTGGGATGGTCTTCACGGTGGCCGTTTCTTGCATTTTAGCCAAAACCAGCATTGTGGTTCTTGCTTTCGTGGCCACCAAGCCAGAGTCCAGCATGAAGAAATGGGTGGCAAAAGAGTTGGCCTACTCTATTGTTCTCTTCTGCTCCCTTATTCAAGCTACCATTTGTATAGTGTGGCTAGTCACCTTTCCCCCATTCATAGACTTTGATATGCACACAATGGCCACAGAAGTTGTCCTTCAATGTAATGAAGGTTCAGCAACCATGTTCTACTGTGTCCTGAGCTTCATGGGCTTCCTGGCCATAGTCAGCTTATGTGTTGCTTTCCTGGCCAGAAAGTTACCGGACACTTTTAATGAAGCCAAGTTCATTACATTCAGCATGTTGGCTTTTTGCAGCGTTTGGGTGTCCTTTGTTCCTACCTACTTGAGTACCAAGGGGAAATATATGGTTGCTGTGGAGGTCTTCTCCATCTTGACTTCCAGCATTAGTTTGCTTGGTTGTATCTTCTTTCCCAAATGTTATATAATTTTACTGAAGCCAGAACTGAATAACAAAAGTCAACTAGGAAGATTTAAAACATAGACGCTCTATTTAGCTCAGCTAAATATACTTATTTGTATCATATATTATATTCCATTTTAATTCTGTTCAGACAGACTTCACTGTAGTAGTGGAGGAGAATCTGTGTTACATGAGACCTCTGGGTAGAGTGGGCAGCATATAAATTCAATAAATAAATAAAATTCAATAAATAAACATGTCTCCACTATAGCCCTCCTGGATACAATCGTAGAATAATTGAGTTGGAAGGGGTTTATAAGGCCATCGAGTTCAATACTCTGCTCAGCACAGGAATCAAGATCAAAGCTGATCTGACAGATGGTTGTCTAATGTTCTCCAGTGTTGGCTTGCTCACCATCTACTAAGGCAATTGGTTCCATTGTCATACTGCTCTAACAGAATGTTTTTTTTTCTGATATTCAACCAAAATCTGGATTCCTGTAACTTGAACCCATTATTATGTGTCCTGCACTCTAGGATGATTGCAAACGAATCCTGCCCCTCTTCTGTAGAACAATCAAGTATTTGAAGAATGCTAGCATATCTACTGTGAGGTTTTTTGTTTTCTCAAGTTCTCCAGCATTGGAGGCATTCAAGAGAAATTTAGACAACCGCCTGGCAGATATCCTTTGATTTGTATCCCTACATTGAGCAGGGGGTTGGACTTAATGACCTTCTAGGCCCCTTCCAACTTCATGATTCTATGATTCTAAACATGCCCAGTTCCTTCAGCCTTTCCTCATAAGACTTGGTTTCCAGTTCCCTGATCATCCATGTTCTCCTCCTCTGGACTCATTCTGGTTTGTCTGAATCCTTGTTAAAATGCAATGTGAAGAACTGGGCACACTGCTCATCTTGCCTTCTGGAATGGGGATTCTGTTAAAATATTTCATACACGCATGCTTTGCTAGCATCTAGGAACTGTGTGCATTGTGGAATGACACATGTATTGTTAAGGGAGTCTAGACATGTTGTTTTGTTTCAGTTGTCTACACTCATGTACAATACTAGTTTCAATAAACTTTTTAACAAATGTAAGTTTCTTCCTCCCAAGGAAAATGAGAAAGGACTTCCCTTCTGCTTGATCATTCAAGGACTGAAGGAATAGAAATGTGACATTAGAATTTCATCTAATGTCAAATAAGATTTTGTACATGCCATGGTCCACCAAAAATCATCCTTCTTTCTACAAATGCATGAAAGAGACTCACATGATTGTATAAGAATTCTTTTAAAAGAGTTACATCCCCTGATGTTAGATTCATTTTGTTGCTGGCAACACTTGAGAAGAGAAATTCATGAAGTATGGAGCACTGTCCATGAAAGCATATGCCATGTCTTTAAGGACACCTCATTTTTTTATCCGGCACCAGAATAACATGACCACTTTCCTGAAAATAATGGTGATCTTCCCTTCTCTGCCAACCCATTGTGTAGGAAAGAGAAGGAAGATACAGTGGTGCCTCGCTAGACGATGATAATCCGTTCCACTGAAATCACTGTTTAGCGAAATCGTCATCTAGCCAAAAGCATTTCCCCATTGGAATGCATTGAAACCTGTTTAATGTGTTCCAACGGGGAAGAATCGTCGTTGTCTAGCGAAGATCGGCCATAGGAAAGTCACTTTGCAAACTGCAAATCAGCGAAGCTTAGGTCCTGAAAACACCCGTTTTGCGAGTGCGGAGGGAGCTGTCAAAATTGTTGTCTAGTGAAAATAGGTTTGCGAAGCATGAACCAAACATTGTCTAGTGAAATTCCCGCATAGGAACCACTGTTTTGAGAATCGCAAAAAGTCAATGTCTAGCGAAAAAAACTGTCATGCGGGGTAACTGTCTAGCGAGGCACCACTGTAATTAAAAGCAAGTGATAGAAAGACAGCAGGGATCATGTTATTCACTTCTGGGTCTTGCACGGCCCACAGCTGACTTCAGATCCACCGGGTGCCTAGCTGGGACCTTAGAACTGAAACCTGCGAATGGACAGAGGTATTGAGCAGGAGGTAAGGACTTATAAGATTTGACATTCATCCCCAGAAACAAGTTCCTGTTGATGATATCCATGTCCTGAAAATTGAACTGAAACTCAAATAGTTCTAGTGAAGTGATAAGGTAAAGGTAAAGGTTCCCCCTTCAAGCCATAGAGCCAGCATTTGTCCGAAGACAATCTTTCCGTGGTCACATGGCCAGTGTGATTTAGACATGGAACGCTGTTTACCTTCCCACCGAGATGGTACCTATTTATCTACTCGCATTTGCATGCTTTCGAACCGCTAGGTTGGCGGGAGCTGGGGCAAGCGACGGGCGCTCACTCCGTCGCGTGGATTCGATCTTACGACTGCCTGGTCTTCTGACCCTGCAGCACAGGCTTCTGCGGTTTAGCCCAGTGGTTCTTAACCTTTGTTACTCGGATGCTTTTGAACTGCAACTCCCAGAAACCCCAGTCAGGACAGCTGGTGGTAAAGGCTTCTGGGAGTTGCAGTCCAAAACTCCTGAGTAACCCAAGGTTAAGAACCAGTGGTTTAGCCCACAGCGCCACCACATCCCACCCTAGTGAAGTGAAGGACTATAGTATTTAGTCTCTTCAATACGTTTTCCTTATAAGCTGCCTTTTCCTTGTAAACTGCCCTCTCTTGCTCAGTTCAGACCTCATCATTATGACATAACATTGCCTTCTCAACCCCAGAGACAAGAATTATGGATTAATCACAGGTCACCCTTTAGTAATCAATGTTGCCATCCTTTGGCAAAAGGGGTCATGCCGTAGTGTGGAATCAGGTTTAAGCACAGAGGTCTCGAAGGACCCCTTTAAGCAACAAATGGACAAGTTCCTGGCCCCAAGTTCTCTCGGTCTTAAAGATAATGAGAACCTGGCTAGCCCCAATTTTACCACCCCCGGGCCTCAAGCCACTTTCTCCTTGTTGACTGTTGGTCCGGGTGTGGCCCCAGCGCATCTTCTCCCCCCAAGCACTGTAATCAAATGATCCGCAGCACTGGGAGGTCAGATGGGCTATAGCTTACCTGAGTTTGCAATGGGACTCAGGTAAAGTCAAAACCTGTTATATCCACACTACCTGCCAGTGTGACCCATTTTTCACCTCTAAACATGCCAGCACAGCTGTTCCAGTGTGGGATAGGCGTAACGATGCGCTCGTTAAGCAAGGCACCACTGTACAGGTCAAAAATTCCTATCCACCCCATAGGCGACCAGATAAACTCACACTAGAATAAAGGGCAGGTGAGTGGGTGCCAGCAAAGAAAGAAGAGAAGAGGGGGGAATGGCCCTTAAATAACCTAATGTTCCCCCCTCTCCTCCTATGCTAATCTTGTGATACCAAATATCGGAGAAATACCAACACAATAAAACATCTAAGAGATTTCGTTCCTCATACATCTGTACCATTTTCCCATCCATTTGGACTTCCCCAGCATCACTAGCAGTTAAAGAATCCAATATTTCTTTCCTACTAATAGAGACTTTATGAATGACTGTGGTAGTTATTGGTTAAGATTTATCTGAGACAAATTTTGAATATTTTGATAAAAGAAGAGAATCCATTTCTGCACACAGGAAAAGCACCACAACTTAAATAACCTGAAATGAAACAATATGTATAGAATTCCCTCATATAAAGGACCATATGTGGGAATGTCTTGTGGAAAAGCTCAACTTGTCTTATGTTATTCTTGGCAGAACAGTTGTGATACCAAATATCGGAGAAATACCAACACAATAAAACATCTAAGAGATTTCGTTCCTCATACATCTGTACCATTTTCCCATCCATTTGGACTTCCCCAGCATCACTAGCAGTTAAAGAATCCAATATTTCTTTCCTATTAATAGAGACTTTATGAATGACTGTGGTAGTTATTGGTTAAGATTTATCTGAGACAAATTTTGAATATTTTGATAAAAGGAGAGAATCCATTTCTGCACAACCTGCTCTCAAGTAGTGTCACACAGGAAAAGCACCACATCTTAAATAACCTGAAATGAAACAAGATGTATAGAATTCCCTCCTATAAAGGACCGTATGTGGGAATGTCTTGTGGAAAAGCCCAACTTGTCTTACATTATTCTTGGCAGAACAAACCTGAAAAAAACACCCAGTAGTGTACATATATGTAAATATAACCGTCAAAGAAGAACTGGTAAAGTGTCTTCATTTACTCTGCGCCAGAAGCGTAACAAAACCACCCAATTTATTATGATCAAGATAATCCAGGGGATGAAAGGGTTGGATTCTTGCTTTATGCAATTTAACCTCTGGCTCTGCAGCCAAATATCTAAACCACTGAATCTGCTTTGGTGTTGTTTTTTTCAGCTTAGAGTGAGAAGCATGCTAGCATCTGAAAGTGTATGTCCTGCAGAATTGTGTTTGTATTTCTAGGGACCCAAACATCCAGAAAATGCACACCTGATTTCTTTGGTTTCATTTGTCTGCATCTATTTAGTGTTGCTCTTATTTTGAACAACTTTGTAATACACAAGTGAGTTTGTTCTTCCCAAAGGAAGCAGGAAAAATGTCCCTTCTGCCAAGTCATTCAGGGGGTTAGGGTTCAGAAATATGCCATATGTCTATATTCCCTGTTGCCACTATGGATCAATGCCATGGTCCTCTGGGATACCTTTCTCCAAGAAATGCACAGAAAAGACTCAACTGACTGTGGACTAATTTATTTCAAACATTTCCAATTGCTGTTGTGGCTGACAGTAGATGAGAAGTAAAGAAGAAATGGACCACACTCCATGGAAGCATATGCTAACTATTTAAAGTGCCAGAAGATTCCTCATTTTTTATGCTGCAGCAAAATAATATGGCCACCTTCCTAAAGATGATGAAGGTGATCTAGCCTTCTTTGCTAGCCCACTGAGCAGGAAAAAGAAGGAAGGCAATAAAAAGCAAGTAGTAGAAAGATGGTGGAGATGGTGCTACTCAATTCTGTCTCTTGCGCAACTCATTACTGGCTTCAGATCCACCTGCTGCCTAGCAAAGACCTTTTAAATGAATATAGACTTCAAAGGGGAAGGCAGGCGGGACGTACAGCTTAGCGTCCATATCCAGGAGCAAGTTGTCCATGATGATGTCCATATTCTAAAAATAGAACTGAAATTAAGATATTTTTAATTGGATGAAGGGCAATAGTATTTAGACTCAATATGTCTTCCTCATCAGCTTTCCTCTCTTGTTCAGTTCAGGCCTCATCACAATAATATAACATTTGGGGGAAAAGATACAAATGAGGACACCAGCAGCAGAGGCTAAGATGGAGAAGATCTCCACAGCCACCTTATATTTCCCCTTGGTGCTCAGATAGGTTGGCACAAAGCACAACCAAACATTACAAAACAAAAACATGCTGAAAGTGATGAACTTGGCTTCGTTAAAACTGTCTGGTAACCTTCTAGCTAAGAATGCTACAGTGAAACTAACGAAGGCTAAAATACCCATAAAGGTCAGGACAGAGTAAAACATAACAGTAGAACCTTCGTTACATTCCAGAACAACGTTTTCAGTCTCTGAGTACATGTCAAAATATGGGAAAGGAGGAAAGGTGGCCAGCCATGCAGTACAAATAATGGCTTGAATAAAAGAGCAGGAAAGGACAATGGAAGCTGTTAATCTATTCCCAAGCCATGTCCTCATCCTAGAACTTGGCTTGGTGGTCATGAAGGAAAGAACCACGATGATGGTTTTGGCCAACATGCAGGAAACAGCCACGGAGAAGATGACACCAAAAGCCGTTTGTTGGAGAAAGCAAGATATCTTCTGGGGTTCACCAATGAATAAGAAAGCACAAAGGAAGGAAAGCAGGAGGGAGACGAGGAGAGTGTAGGTGAGGTTTCTGTTGTTGGCTTTGACTATGGGAGTGTCCTGGTGTTTCATGAAGATCCCAAGCACCAAAATTGTGAGAAAAGAAAAGAAAAGAGCAAGAATAGCCAAACTGATCCCCAAAGGCTCTTCATAAGATAAGAAGCTTATGCCTTTTGGAAGGCATGCATCCTGGCCCTCGTTTGCATATTGATCCTGGGGGCATGGAGTACAGTCATCCATATCTGAAAGAAAGCAAAAAAACAAAAAAACAAACCATGGCCTTCAGATATAATATTTTTGAGCTAGAGTTGAAAGTTCAGTAGGAGAGCTGATCTTTTAATTTCTGGTGTGCACGCTTGCAGCTTAGTAGGAAATGTATCTCATGGGCCTTGTAGTTTTTTGTCAGAAAATGACCCACCCATCCTGACCATTGGCCAGATGGTCTTTACACTGATGAGAAAATCATTTTTGAGAACATCTCTAGGACCACATATTCCCTTCCCCATTTCTAAAGAATATTCACTCCTTGGCTGAAATCCAAAAGAAAGTTCAACTAGAATAGGATCATGGAATTAATGGGGATTTAGTTAGTCGACTCTGTAATTCCATAGGCCTATTTTAGTTGTGACTTGCCACTGTGTTTCAGCCAGTGCCTTGTTTATTACACCAGAGTGAAATGATCTTATGTGGATCTCCTGCAGTCTTCTGATATGGAAACTTCCAAACTCCCACTGATTTCACTTGGGATGATGCCTATGCTGGAAGATAGTAGGTCCTTGTACAAGCTCTGGGAAAGGTCATCGATGTACCATCTTGTGACAGCAACAAGTTCGATCTAACTGATCGAAATCCTTCTTGAATGAAAGGAGCTCATACACGATAATAGTGGAGCACACACAGAGAGGGAAAACAGTATCGATCTCAGGTGTTTAAACTTTGTTATTAAAAAAACTTGTTATGAAAGGAAACCTACTCTTCCTTAACCTTCAAAAACCAGGAGTTAGTAGCACCTCATCATGCCATCTTTCTTAGGGCATGCAATAAGCTGTTTTCCTTCATGTGCAATGGATTGCTACACACAAGAAGTCAGAGACACTAATGGTTACAAAAGACCTTTTCTATTTTCTGGCCATCACTGCTCAGTTTTGCACGTTATGTATATTGGTTATCCAAGCCAGTGTAATCTATACAGCTACTGTACCTGGCATTTCTTACCTGTGTGGTTTGAGATTTTCCCTTCTGGACATGGCTGACAATCAAAACAACAAAATGGCTTTCCTTCCTTCTTGGCCTTACTAGAGCCCAAAGCGCAATTATCATTACACTGGGAAAGCGGTCGTGCCTG